TCTGCGTACATCTGCGTGGACTGGACGTCATGGATATCAAAGGGGCGCCTGTCCAACCGCCAGGCCCGTACTGCACCTGACATTGTTCCGCTCCACTCGAGAAACTCGCAGTTCCGTAACAGCCTCGCGTTTTCCCGCGAATCACTGGTTCCTGTTTCCTACCGACGATTGGCTTGTGCGATCCCGGCCTGATGGTCGACGATATCAAACAACTGCCGATGTAACGCTCCACCTCCACGCCGCCCTGGGAGGCCGGGCTCATCTTACAAAACCCGCGAACGATATCACTTGTATCGCAACGACACCGTTGTAACACTCTCTCCGACTATCGAGAGTGACTCGATGTTACACCTCACGATATATTCCAATATACGTGGAAAAGATACACGTCGCACCAACACGTTACTCCATTGACCTAAATCCAGATACAACGTTCCCGATGCTCCGAACCGTATCGCCGGTTTAGCCCATTGTCATTGTGAACCTTCTTCTTCTACTACCGATACCACAAAACAGAATCGTAACACTTTGGCGATCGATCAAGCAAGCTCAAGGGCAGTGGGCAAACTTCGTTGCTTCGCGTTCGAGAAAGACGAGAGAACGCGTAGCATATAAACGGTCACGTTTCAGACGACGGAAGCAAGCAATTAATAGAGAAAACGGCGAGGATTGCGCAGGGCGAAACGCAACTGCCGGTCGAACAACCATACGAGACCGCGGCTGGAACGACACTGAACCTCCGCACCGCCGAACGCGCCACACCGTCTTTCGAATCGCTCTGCGACGTGGAGATCCCCCCACCACCTGAGCCAATACCTCCTCCACTGAACCGCTGCCCCCTCCACTGAGCCACTGCCTCCCACCACCATCGCCGCCGACAGACGTAGCCCCACCACTTAACTTTCTTTACAATGTACCTCTCCACACCGCTCAAACGAAACTTTACCATGCGCGTATACTCCGCTTATATACACATAACATTGTTCCTTCCGGTGGACGAACCTGTCACAATTTAGCAAGGTATCGGAGAAAGCCGAGCAAGGTAGATGAGTTGCGTCGTGGCTGGGCGTTAGTCGGTGGAAAACTTTTCGGCCGGCATCGAGACGAATTTCATCCGATCGATACTCGTGACTGATACGAGTTTCGTTATGACAGATAATACAGCAACCACGATGCTGCGCTCTGCTCAAATCAATCGCTTTCTTCTTGTGAAAACGAAAAAAAGAAGGGAAAGAAGACCTGTGTGAATTAACACGTTGAGCGCCAAGGAAATTTTTCAAGCTGTCTTGAAATTTATTACAATTTATTATACAATACAAAATAGCGAAAAGCTTATAGATAAAATAGAAACTTTATTCGGCGTGTAAATGAGGTTCACGCGGCATTCAAATGATGTTAAAATTATCCACGTACAGATCAGTACCGACTAGATGTGTATCACTAGAAAAAAGAAGAAAAAAGGGACGCAAGCTTTGAATTCGAAACGATCTATCAGTGCTAAATCCCTTTGAAGCTAAACCCGGGGGAAAGAGGAGTGTGACACGTCGAAGGAAAATCTCAAAATCTCAAAAACATCAAGCGAGAACGACGCGAGTTATGTCTCAACTCTCGTAAGTTCTGCAAGACCGTCATCCGTGAAGTAGATGGCACGACGACAGCGACGACGACGAGACTAGAAAGAGTAAAATAATAGAAAATGAGGGAAGAACCAGCCGGTAGAAAAAGAAGGAGAAGGAGGGAAGCCTGATATCTTAGATCAGGTTACGGCACCCTCGCATCTAGGCCACAAGCCTTTAAAAGTGGGTCACAAGTCATCAATCGCCTGCGGCACGCTATCTCGCTCAGTTGAACCCTCCTCGCACACGACCCACCTACTCTTCCTTGGAACGTTTCATCTGGAGCAAAGTAACGCGACGTTTGATTCGCGTTTATCGTGTGCCTGTTCACCGGCGCCACCAAATTCCACGCCAGCGAACAAAAGACGCGCCGATGAAATTAACATGTTTTTTAACAAAAGCCAATAGCCGTCGCTACGCGTTTTCGCGGGGCTCTTCGTTAACCTTCTATTGCATGAATTTTTATGACGAGTTGGAAAAAATATATATGGCTGTTAGTCTACTTAAAAATGAGTGTGGTCATGAAATAAATAATAAAATTTTATTAGAAAATATTATTTATTGCATTTCATGACTGTTCCTGTATGGGAACTTTATACTACCAATAAATTGTCTATTTAATTTACTACAGAACATTTGAAATTTAAGTCCCCAATTGAGAACGGAATGCAATTGAGGGTTAAGTATACTTAGACTGATATAGCGTGCACGCATGATACCACTCGGACACCCCCTTAATTCTCAGAAAATTCGTTTAGAATTAATTTTAAAATTGTCGACAAAGTATGCTGCAATGATTTTATCCTTTGCAAGGATATCGTGGATATGTGTAATTAAATTGATTAAATTGTGATTTATAAATCGTTTGAGTATTTATAATTCTATTATTTGGCGAACTCTTCAAACGACAAGTCCGACTGAGACGAGTCTTCCAAATTTTCAGAGGAGTTAATTGTTGTAAAAACGGTGATATTTACAACAACTGCGCGATAAATAACGGAATTATATTACGCTTTTTTCATAGATAAATGATACAGATTTGTATAATTTCACGAGAAACGTTACAAGCAAGACTACCTCTGATAATTAATTACACCATTAATTTGCTACAATTACTGCTGCTCTAAATTGACGAAATAGATATTTGTAAATGCGTAGGTGCCTTTAACCAATTCCTTTGCCACTTTTCGCGGCTCTCTAGTTCACTGCAGAAAGAGATCTCCATTTTTGATAAATATTTCATCTCAACGACTGCAACTACATCGGATTTACAGATAATAATAATTGGGTAATAATAGAACGTACACGGATAATAATCGGCGAATAGAAATGCAAGCAAGTTTACGATTCGTACAGACGGTACAGAAAACGTATCGAGCCAATGAATAACAAATTATGATTATTAAACCAACGAACGGAACGAGAAAGTTGAAGAGATAATGGCTACTTGTCGGATTCTTCTCCCGGCCAAGTACGATCAACACGATTCCCACCGGCGTGTATCCGAGAAATTTGTAATTCATAAGAGATCAATGCGAAACTAACTATGATCTTCTTAATTTCCTTTGGGACCGAGGCGAACTTTGCTGCGCAAATTCACCTCGCATGCGAACGCTCGATAAACGGCATCGCGAATGCAAGCAAATTTATATCTTATTCATTAGTCTCGATCGATAATCGTGGATGGCACTCGACGTCGCATAATAGCATGCAGTTTGTATCTCAGGATCGGCAATTCTTACAATTAGATGGAGATCTCGCGTCTGCGGCGCAACAAAAATGTTTGCTCTTGTTATCGCGTGTGTTTCATCACCTGTGTTGCATCAACGTTCTATTCATTTCCAAAGATCGTCACTGTTTTTTTTTTTCCAGATGTGTGCACGTGTATTCGATTGCCACTATAATCCATTTCTAGGCGCAATAATGTACAAAGTGTCTAAAGAAGCTTGGAGGTGAACTCACACTCACAAGTGTAACTTATGCTTTATTAAAAAAAAAAAAAAAAAAAAAAAATTATAAAACGGAATCGTTCTGACTGATTGGCGAGAAAGTTAATAATTCTCACTGACAATTATCGTCTGGCAGTATTTTAGTTACTCCAAAACCAATTCTTGGGAATGTAAATTCTTGCAAAATGCATTTATTATTATTTCCCACAGAGTAGGGACATTCGAAACAATTTTCGAGTTCACTAGATAACACCATGAATGGAAGCCTTTATTTTTGTAGGAGGAAGAAATTTTATTGCAATTTTATTTTTATAATTTCATGGAATATTATGTAAAATGTTATATTACAGAAACTTTAACATACAGAGTGTTATTATTGTAGAAACTTTTCATCACATTATATGCATTCTATACAATTTTCTATTTGTGTAGAAATCCACGGTTTAATTATATTGACAACAATCGTTGAACACTTTCGGACGAAATAAGTAACTTTTCAATAAAATATCTTCTTACACAGGCAAATTTGCACAAATTTTTCCCATCTATACGTATACGTGTACCTGATCTCATTAACGAGTAGCAACGCAAGCTTGGCTCCGACGTTTTTGAACACCCGGTGCAGAGACGGTTGACGAGAATTTTGTCACGGCATTGGAATTTATCGCGTCGTACATTTTCCCGAAATTCGCTGCGAAATTCGCTTTATGTCTGTCAAAATGTGCACGGAATTCGGGCGAAATAAATGCACGCGCGGCATTAAGACTAATGAAACGCGATAAATTTTCTACGGCTGAAGTGGGGGAGTGTGTGTGCGTGCAGTTGACGTGCGAACTTGTAAGGAAAGCTTTCTCAGTTCGTCATAAATGTACTTCCTGCTACGAAATTTATCATAATTTTATAAGCCACGCGAGTCGAGAAACTCTTGACACACTTTCCTAACGGGTATTCCGTGTAAGAAACTAATCATGCTTGACATTATCGGCCTCGGCTGAAACGTACATACACACACACACACACACACACACACACAAAATATACACATACACAACAGGTCTTCGGAACAGCGATACGTGGCGTTTTTGTGAAAGAGAAATGACGCATATTTTAAAGAGAGCAGAGAAAAATAGACGAAGTGCCGCGTGAAAGTACGCCGCGTGATCGTTGTGAGAATCTTGGCTCGATACGTACGGCCGAACGGGTGATTTTACGGTGAAAGCGATACATTGAAATATTCATCGATACCACGCGCAGTGGCGAAACGCTTTCGTTTCTCACTTGAAATTTTACCGGCGATGAAACGTTCCTTGGTTGTCCCACATTTCGCGGAACGTGGAAAAGTGGCTTTGCTAACGCTTCGGAGATAACGTTTCCCTGTTGCGCCAGAGAGATAAATAAGCCTAATAAATAAACCGAGAGAACGCTGGAATTGTTCATG